ATTTTTTTGCCCTAAGAAACTTGTGGGTACAAAGAAAAATGAACCCTGCTTTTGCACTTCAGCGCCCTCATCCAGCTAGCCTGGCTTCTGGTCTGTCTGCCTTTAACCGTAAGAAGAAAGGCTGAAGGTATGTCCTTCTCACTTTTGCAGTCTTGAGAGCTACAGAGAAGGAATGAAAATAAGGAAGCAGGGTGTATCTTGTACTCCATAGTGCCAGCAGGACAAAAAAAGATGGCTCTTGAGGAGTCCTATTAATTATTTAATGTTAAATATTAACATGACTGCTCACATAGCTCTGGCCTGTAAACTTCCACTATTCAGTAGGTCTCATCTGGTATCTGTTCTGCAGTACAAGCCCTTCTGAACCCCTTGCAAGGGCATAGTGACCATACACTGAGAATGGATCCACACTGCCTATGTTGTATGTGAAGTCTAGGTCAGCTTTGAAAGACTCGACTTCAACAAATACTGGCCTACTACTAGCAAAACTATTTTAAATGTAACATAAACCTTGAAATAAATAATTTCTCTTTATATTTTATGTAGACAGGTCCCTTGATAGCTGGCCAATTGCAGTTTTTTGAATGGATAAAAGCATCAGTGAGCAAAACCAAGAACTTTCTGCTATGGTGTCACACTGGCATCAATATATACTGTGGAGTAGGATCAAGACTCCATCAGCCTGTGACACACTAGCTTTTTTTTTAATTCTAATGTGATGAGCTAAATGAATCTTTAGGAAGTTAAGGTATGTTAGCAAGTGTTTTAGCTGGGAGTGGAGTGCTTTTATTCAGTTGACTATGACTGTTTCACCTGTGTGCCACTGTATGGGTCAGTACAGAGTATGCTTGGATGCCTACTGGAATAAATGACTCCAGAACTGTGGTTGAAACATAGTTTGTGTTCATACAGTAGCTGTGTTGCTGTTGCCTGTTTAACATGATTTTTTTTTAATTATTTTTTAAGTATTTCAGGTGAAAGCCTTAACCAGGTGCCTGCCCCTTAAGGTGGGCTCACGTGTGGTGTTGTATAGACTGAAACATGACTGTCCTTAAAATTGCAGATTTTAAGAAACCATAATGAACAGAAGAATCCTATGGTTGCCAAAGGGCACGAGTCTGGATTAGATGGGCTTTACCCTGCTCAAGTGGTTCTGGCTAATTACTCTAGGTGGTTGTTTTAACCACTTGCTCCTTCTAAGTCAAGTGTTTAAAGCAGTCCCAGTGATGAGGTGCCAGATAAGAGCAGGACATGCCCTGTGTCCCATGCGTACTGTGTGTAAGTAGCTGAAATAACACCGTGTATCCTAGTGGTCTTACACTGTTGTCCTGTCAACATTAAGATCTTCATTATGGAGTTTATAACTTAACCTAAGAAAGCAAGTGCTATTCTAGCTTGGTTTTCGCTCTGCCAGAGCAAGGTGGAGATGGTCCCTCTGCAGCCAAGCTGAACTCCTTAGGGAATTTACTATTTGTGTCTGTTTTCTGAGCAGGTGTTTACCTGTATCACAACCACTCTCCTTCAGTGATGCCCTGGCCCTGCCTGCTCAAAAGCAACTCAATTTAGGCCCAGAAGGCTACTGAATCCCCTGTGATCTCTGCAGAGCAGAGTTTCCCTCCAGGTCAGGGTTGAGATGGTGCTAGTGGGACCCGAGTGGTCCCCTTCCATGCACATCAGTATTCTACTCTAGCACTGATAGGGTGCTCCAAACCATTGACATCTTTATCACTGGTACAGCTCAGAACTAACTTAAGAAATGGAAGGTTTCTTTCTTTTAAAGTTATATCATGTGTGTCTTTTTGTAATTAATCAGTGTGGTTCTGTGTCTTTATGTAGCCAGCACAGAACCCTTATTTAGAATTAGTTCTTACTGCACTCCCCATAGCCCTCATGTTGATACTTCTTCCTGCTTCCTTTGACACTTAGACAATAAAATTCCCTCTGTACTGCTCTCAGCTTGTGCAGAGAAAACAAGATGTCTGTACTGTCTTTCTTTCTGATTTAAACTTTCCCTTGGTCAGTTGAGAAGGCAAAAGCACAGCCTTGCGTGATGGTATCAGACAGATTAAGTATAGACGTCCTGTACTTTTGCAGCACTATGGAAAAAGGACACAGAAGAACCCTCATTGTCCATCAAGCATGTGACCAGGTAAGCATGTCCATACACAACACAGCAGTTGCCAGAGAGTAAGAAGCATGCATGTGGCTGTGCAGCAAAGGGTAAAACTCATCTTTTCCTCCTCGGCAGCCATCTGCCAGGCTGTATGGAAAAAAGCCAGTGGATGAAACAACATAAATGTCTGTCTTGAGTTGATACTCCTAAGGGTTAACAAGAGCCTCTCCTTCCACTATCTACTTATTCTTCAGCATATGATCCAGCCTCCTTTCCTGGCCAAAAAAGCAATTCTGCTTAAGCACTGTAGTTTAGTGACCTTCCAGACTAATGACCTCACCAGGACTCCTCAGACAAACGCTGGGTTAATAAAGGACAGTCAGCTGCAAGACTCAGTGTATTCCCCCAGCAAGGGGGATCCAACTCTATTCAGGCTATCATCTTTCAGGCATAGCATACCCCTTCCCTCGAGGGAAGTGAGTAATAGCTGGGACTGGGGCCAGGATGTAGGAAAGCTTACAGCATATGCAACTGTAGAGGAGAGGAATAAACATCCCCTACCCTGTCACTCCGCAGAGTAAGGCACATGCAGTATTCCCTCTTAGCCAAGTTAATTATACAAGCAGCCTCTGTCTTGAGGGAAAGTAATTGCACAGTACCTAGTAGGCGGTATGAAGGGACAAAGAAAGTAACCACATCATAAGACTTTGAGGTCTGTGCTCAGGCCCAGAAGATAATACAGAAACAGAAGGTGGCTTCTTGCTCCACGTTCTCCTGTTACTGATCTTTAAGCATTTATTAAATGCTTAAAGACTGAAGTGGTGCAATTTCTATAAACCTATTTCAAATGCTTGTTTGAAAATACCCTCTGCCCCGTGTCTTACAGATTTCACTAAAAATTGGGTAACTCTTGAAATCTCTGTAGACATATGGGTCAGGTTGCTGGCTAGACAAAGGAGTGAAAGAGGCAGAACTTGGATACAGCTGAGATTAAAATGAGACTTTCTGCTCACTCTTAGGTCAAACTTTCCCCCTGATACTGACAGTTCCTGCAATTCTAGGTTTTTAAGTCAGAGATTACACTAATGGGACCTAAATGAAAAACGTTTGTTGGGGAAAAGATACACAACTCAGTTAAGCAGTAATTTAATAAAAAAAAAAAAAAGTCAGCTACTATGCTGAGAAACCCAAGACTGCAAAACTTAAAGATCTCATATGCATAGGAGCATATAGAAATCCATTTGTGAGAAGGTGGAACTATGCCTTAAGAGCACTATCCATGCAGGGACTGCAGGAGTATGGAAAGCAAAGGAGCATGACATGCTGTAGCTAGCAGTCCATTAGAGACTTAATTAAAATAGTTGAGTTGGCTTTCCTGATTTATATTTTTATTTTGGCAGAGTGGTTTCTACCCTAACTCCAACCTCTTTTTTTTTTTTTTTTTGAGGGCCAGGGAAGGAGAATAGCTTTAGGATAACAACTGCATTTGACTCCCAGTGCAGGAGCAACACCTGAAAGTGCACAGTAACTGAATAAACTTAAGGCTGCTGTAGAAAGCTTTTCATCCACAAAGAGAAAAATCAATGCGGACTAAAAAAAAAAATAAGTAAGTAACATTGCTAAGGCTTGATGTCAAGTCTTTTTTTTTGTGTATAAAAGGAAAGACTGCATGGAACAAATGCATCTTTTGTTGTAGCACATGCCAGCTTCTAGCCCAGTCTTTTACCCATTTGTCACCTCAGCACCTTGGAAGTTGCTCTGTGTGTCTAACCAAAGTTAAGAAGAGTTTTCCAGCTCCACTATACAGCATTCCTATTCCCTTAGAGAACAAGAATGTGCAGGCTTGAACTGAAGTAAATAAATAAAAGGGAAAAGAGCTTCAAGACTAGAATGAATTTTCAGTGGAAGCTGGCAGATAACTTACCATAACAGGAGAAGCCAAACTTGTACAACTGACAAAAGGAAGGAGCTTGAGGCATAACACGCATCTATGTTAGCATTACAGCAGGCAAGTTCGCTGCAGAAACTCAGCATCACGCTTTGAAACATGATGCAGTACCTCTGATGGCAATGATCGGCCAGCTTGTGCATCTCTATGTGACCGAGACACAAAAAAGCACTACAACCAACCCAGGCAGCTACAGTCTGGTAGGGAAGAGGTCACAGACAGCAATTCAATTAACTTGCACCACGGGAAGCCTACTGAAAGGAGATGGTATCCCACAAAGGCTTGTACGCTCCTCCTTTAGATGAGCCACAAAAAGGCTTCATCTGCATTTGGATGAACCCTAAATGTTTGCACAGTCCAGCGGTACATTCAGCAAACCTTCATTAGTAAGGTGGTAACAATGGGAGGAAAAATTGCAGTCTAGCAGAGCCCTGACCTGCAGACTGTTTGCTCAGATAATCACTCTCAAAAATCATTAGGGGCCCAACAAGTACCTTGATCTGCTCTTGAAAGAGCATCTCTGAGATGCACAATTTTTCTTGGAGCATCTAGCAGACTCTAGAGAAGAGGAACTACGGTCCTTTGATCTCCTGTGCTTCACAAAGCAGGTGGCACGAAGGGTACTAACAGCAAATCTTGATTTCTTGATTGTTTTTATTTAACAAGAGTTACTCCTATCTAAGTGTTGGTTTCAGAGCTCCCATCCCTCCCACTTAACTCTTCAGAGATGAGGGATGGGGAACTCACTATCTTATGGCTTAACACTGTTAAAATGTTTGAGTTTATATTATAACTTACCCCTAAAGAATTCACCCATAGCTTCTAAATGAAGAAATAAATAAACACCAGTAACTTAGAAAGATAATTGGATCTGGCAGTCATGGGAAAACAGCTGCCAGAAAGACACCTCATAAGGAAAAGGCATAGAGAAAGAAGACCTCAAGCAGCAGCCAAGGTTCATTTATTGACAAAAGGACAGAAATTAGAGCAATTACACTGTTTACCACTCCCCCATCCCATATATTTTGGGGAACTGATTATAAAGGGCATCCTCGTGAAGTGACGGACTTATGACTCTGAGAAAGCTAAAGAAGTTGGACTTCCATCTAAATGGTGTAATTAATTACAGCCTAGCAGCTGTGGTGCAATTTAAGCTGTTGTCTAGCTAAGATACTTTGTCAAATCTGTGTTTGCCTCTACAGCTGCACGTCCCTGCAGCTTAGGAGACTGATTATAGGGTAGGTATGCATGCTGCCAGTGGTCTCTGGCATCCCTTTCCCTAAGTACCAATCTCCCTGAGCTCTCTCTACATCACTACTGAGAATATGAGGTAGAACCTACCTCCGTAACACCTCTTTCTGATTGTAAATATTCTAGTTCATAACTGTTTACATGCCTCTCTGTAATTTATCAGAAAGCCATGTTAATTGCAAATATTCAGACACTTAGGTCAAGAAACAGTGCTAAGAGTGTAATCTCTTAATTCTGCTTCCCACCTCCAGTTGCTCATTACCACAGTCTGTTATTATATCACTATGTGATATTCTCAAAGCATCAGAGAATGCATTATTTTCCCCCTACAACTATGTAATAGCTGCCATGTTGGTGGCAGGGACTATTTCCATCCACCCCACCCACAAACTCCCCCTATAGTCTCCAACAGCCAGAGGCACTCACAGGTCTCCCAACTCTGAATTGCTCTAGAGCAGCTATTCTTCTTTCCTGAAACAGGGCAAGTCTGTAGGGTCTACAGCAGAGCTACAGGGACAGTAATCAAAACAACCACAGCAATCAACTGTAATGGTCCTGCATTTCTGCAAGTTTCACCCACAAATGCCCAAGGAAACATATGAATGCCCAAGGAAACATACGTGAGCCAAGGCTTTGGGAGCTACAAGATTGACCTTTCTAATCCTCAGAAAGAAGAAATGGAAGATTTGCAGGCATTGTCCTGGGGTTTTTAAGCATATGGCTCTATATCCACAGTGTTCAGCAGCTTAACCATTCCAAGTACATACCATACAATTTCATGTATTGAAAAAAAAAAAAAAAAAGTGTTAGGCTGACCTGTGAAACAGATTTTCCAACAAAATATATCTGGAACCTTAAAGCCTCACGACAGATGCCTTCATGCAAGATACACAGAAGAAAAGTCAAGTCTTTGGTCTAAATGTAATGGAAGAAGCACTTGTGATGCTCAAGCACAGTTCCTGTGCCTCAGCCACATCACAAAACTGGCAGGGTGCTTGGGCAACCAGCTCATCTGACAGCATACTGTGCATGTGGGGCAGAGGGGCAGCAGGCTTGTCACACACACACACACCCCTCCCACCCTTCATTACCTGACCATCAGACCAGGCCAGCAGTTACAACCAAAGCAGAAGGTTAACATTTCAAGTGGCAGCACTATGCGTCACAGTGTTTTTTTGTTTTGCTTTTGATGGGTTGTTTTTAAACCTTCAGGGTCTTCCCAGTTTCCCTTTCCAATGTTACCAGCTGGTGGGAGTTATCTGCTACCAGGCTGCTTTCTGGCAACCTGCAAACAGCCTGGCAGAAAAATAAAGTTCCTAGTTGCACAGATTTCCCTTTCCTCCCCTCCTTTCACAAATAAAACCAATAACAAAATCCAAGTTAAAATACCTACACGAATTAGTGCAGCACTCAAAACAAACCATCCACAGAAACACACAGCTCTGCATCCCTCCCCAGGCACAAGCACACCAGTGTTAGACGAGAGCCATTACCTGTGAAACTTGGGGCAAACTAAAGCTGCAAACATACTCACCCCCAGATTTCTGTTCACTTATACAGATTCCTACACGTTATCCCAGCTGGTACAGCCAAAGCCATCCACACGTCACCAAGCAAATGCCACACCATGTGGCAGGGGCAAGGATATGCAGTTTGTATGCAGTCATATGGGGACAGAACACAGCCCCCACCCCTTGTTCCTGTGACTTACAGAAATCAGCAGCATTTGGTTTTTTTTTTGGAAGAAGGAACGGTTCTTGAATGCAACCCATTTTGCAAGATAACCGCTGAGGCTAAATAGACCACCTCTGGGATCTGAGGATGCAATAGGAGACAACAGCTAAAGCCACTTCTTCCCTCTCATCACCCATCATTACTGTCTTGTGTAGCTAATTCATGTTCTCCTCTTTCATATCCTAGCCAGAAGCGCCTTGTTGAGCAAGTCTTCAAAGAGTTTAGCTACCAGGAGCACAAGCTGCTGCAGTTACTTTGTGTTTGTTTTTTCTTAAGTTAGAAACATTTTATTTTTCAATAAAGAAAGTAACATTTAAAATATGAAACTCCCCAGTATGACACAAAAAGAGGAAATGGTATTTAAAGTCTTTTTGTACGCTCTCACAAAAATCTGACTGAGGCAGGACGGGATTTCCCAGCCCCATTTGTGAACAGAATGTTAGACATGTTTCTGTCAATATTGCTCCCTTCTCTTACAGCAAAACTGAGCACCAGAAGTCATGCTGAACTAGGGAATCTGCCCCAGGAACAGGCACAGTTCTGTTGTATTCGTGCTGTCCAGGACACTGATGAGAAAACTACACTAACAGGACATCAAAGGTACACTGGGATCCAAGTGACTGCCTCCAAGGACACAGCCTTCCCTCCCTCCCAACGTCTGTCACGAGACAGGAGTCAGTCTTATGGGTTCTACCTAAGCATGGCTAGCTCAGAAAGCTGGGAGCCTGGCCCAGGAGGATGCCATAGGTTGGTTTTCTGTCCCGAAAGGCAAAACAGAACAGGGAGAACACAGAAAAAGAAGGGCAAGTGAGAATCTCTTCAGCTCTTCCATTCAATGTCTGTTTCGTCTTTACACGTTCCATTTTCATCTCCCTTTTGGGAGCTGTAGACTCCTGGGGTCGTTACACCTTACAGGACAGTTTTCTTCATCTGACATTCACTGGGATGAGCTTCTCCCTACAAGTTTCCTAGGAACCACTCCAAGACTGCCAGAAAGGAAGGGAGCCTTTCCCAAGGCCTCTAGGCTCTTGCTGTGGATCTAGAGCTCCTGTGGGTGGCTCTGTAGAATCCCTGCCTCCATTCCAAGCAATCCCCTTCCCTGGACCACTAGACAAGCTTCTTGATGGAAGGGGTCAATTATACAAATTTTACTGCCGGCAATGCAGCCCTTAATAATTATTAAGTAAAAGCAATTTCTAAGCAGTTAGCAGAACCGCTGCTCCCAAAGGCAACACCACTAGTTCCCAAAGGACCACGCTCTATAACCTATCACCCAGAAATTAAAAGAAACATTGTTTTGGTGTGAAAAAAATATTGGTGTATACATGCCCTGCTGCTTGGTAGCAATGAACCAAACAGAAGTGGACAGCATTGCCTATTTCCCCAGTCCCTGAAGATCTTGTCACAGGACAAATAAACACGGGAGTGAGGTTGGTTCCTGCAGCACTAACACATCTGTTAAATGAAGCTGTGGAACATGGATCCCTTTAAGAGATGACAATGCCTGAACATAACCAGAAGCCCACTGGAAGCAGAGTTCAGGTTTGCAGAGACCCACAAAATACCAACACAGGAAGGGCTCCAACTCTTTCATCCCTTGTTTTTATGAGGGTGTAATGGGAGAAAAGGACTCTGAGGGCATGACAAAAATAAGAGTTTTCTTGCAAGCAGGTTGTGCATCCAGAGCCTCAAACCGCTGCGTTCAAAACAGCTTTTCTTTAGGGAAAGGGGACCATCACTAACCCTCTCTGAGGCTGGAGACCTCCAAGCCAAAGCTAGCCAGCAGGCAGAGATGATCAGATGAACAAAAAGGATTTGGTAAGCCATTTGCCATCAACAAGACATCTTCAGAGAGAAGGGAAAGGCGGCCAAGTAGCTTCAGGACTCCATCCCGGTACAGCCTGCGACCTGACAAAGTGGAAAGAAACATCAGCTGAAGGCTGGTGCTGTATGTTAACTCCACAGACTCTCAGAGGGATGCTTGTCAATGGTTTCTGATCCTTTTCCCGATAAAGGAAGACATTCTGCACAAACATTGCATGCACCTTTGGGTCTAGATGTGAAAGCAGCGAGCAACCTGTAATACTGCAATTCAATGGTTTCATATGCTTATCAAGAATATGTTAAATTCAGCAGGCAGTTGCTTACAGTGGAATGAAAAGAGCTTCCTATAAATCCTAGAGATAGCTTCAAATTTTCCCCTGAGGAGGAAATTTTCCCCTTCACTCCTCACCTCCTCCTCAAAGTTGACTCTGACATAACGCAAACCATGTCAGGGGCAGTTCCTGGATGCGTTTACATGTAGTCTTTCATTAGACTAGCTGTTGTGTCAGGTAGTAGAGAGGTACTGTCACTGTAAGAAGAGTCACCTCCTTCTAAGGACAGTGCGTGGTCTCAGTCAGACTTAAAGTCCGAGCCTTGAACTTAGGACTCAGCACTGCCTGTTACCAGGAGCACAAGTAGACAGATAGACAAAGGAAGCAGAACGCGTTCTGTTCTGGCTTCCTCAAAAGTCTACACGAACCTCCTCTGAGCAGACTCAGTTTTTCCACACCAAATACTGTCTTCTTAGATACCTGAACAGCTATTGCTTCCCCTTTGTGCATCACTTCAAAGTCGCACCCTGTAGATCTACCCCAGACCAATGAAACGTCCTGCCCTCTCCCAACGCCGCAGGGATAACCCCTGCATTGCCACACTCACCCCCTCTTCTCCCATTTTCCACAGGCTCTGCCGAGTAGAAGATATAATCAACGGTGGCACCGAGTCCCATGGGCATGGTTGTGACCTCTGAGCGTCCCCTCTGTGGCAGGTAGTGGCTGTAGACAGAGGTCAGGTTGAGGCCATGCTGGATAACACCTGAAGACCTGCACATGAACAGCCAGAATTTACCAAGAAAGGAAAGAGGACAACGCAGTGTTCAGTGTTGCAGTCACAGCTGAAGTTGGATGTTCCTTTGCTGATGCAACCCTCCAAACCATCTGTGTGTTTGAGAACACATACAGAGAGACAGCCTTCCTGAATTATTCACTCCCCTTGCACTGAAGACAGAGCAGACTAGGAACTTACCTTGTCTCCAATACCCTGTCCTGTCTATGCCCTTCATTCTTGGCCTCACTGACCCAATGCTGACAGGACAGTGCCCAGTTACCGGCACAACCCTGGGGGGAGGTGGATCTGGCTATTCCAGACAGCCCTGCTTACTCTCTTCCACCCTCACATTTATTTCAGTCTTTACTTTAGTCAGATTTTCAGCACTGAGGAAAATGAGACAGGATTTGAAGAGCAGGACCACTGAAGGTGCACTCAATTACCTTGGGATGAGTGGCTGGAGTTCGGGGTCATTCACTACAGCAGCGTGCTTGGGCCAGTATGCAGGGCGGTCTGCAAGAGAGCAGAGAGATTCCAGACAAACCTACATAAATACTGGAAGAGGCTGCTCATCCCAAGTCTGAGAAGTTTCTCCTGAGACCAAACAAATTCTTTTGCCCAAGAAGAGCAATAGCTTCTAGTCAAAGGCACCTTACAGGAAAATATTCAAAGGAAATCCCAGTCTAAGACTAACAGGAACATCCTGAGAGCAGATTGCTGCAAACAACTGAAAAGTCATATTCTGTCCTATGAAGGTAAGGACATGCCCCTAAAGCATTTAATACTATCAAAGCCCAGGGTAGTTTAACCTTTAATCTCAAGTTCATTTGCCTTAGCCTACAGCTTACACAAAGGGCAACTAAGAAAGACTGAACAGAAATGGAGAGCAGAAACAGCCATGCCACAAAGCCCAGGGATGCAACAGTGCCTACTGGGTGCCAGCATCCAGAGACATTTATGTTGCAGCCATTGTGATGTGATGGTCTTCAGGTTTGTTCTACTGCAACAAAAACCTTGAGGTGGTAAAAAAAAAAAAATGCCTTTGTCAAAAACAGCCTCGTAAAGAGCCTGAATCTCCATGCATCTCAAGGAACACAACAATGCAAGACTCACTATACGAGGACAGTAATACTGTCCTCTGAGTTCTCCTGGAATCCATTAATAATCACACAGCCACAAAATGCTACCCTTCCGTCTTCACCTTTTCTCACCAGGCATCACCGCCAACTCAGTTTTTCATTAAAATCCAGCTAGGAGAGTCATGAGCTGAAAAATATCGCATTAATACCTGGTTTAGCATCTGTCACACCTTCCAAGAGGACTAGTTGTGGTGGTCGTTCACAGGCAATATCGCAAAAATGGAACTGGAGCAGGAAGTCCCGGCTGTACTTACGTCTGCCTGCAGACAAAAATATAATTGAAGGGAATAAACGTCTGCAGCAAAGTCACATCTACATACTACTGAGACCTCTTTAGTTCAAGATTTTCAAGCCCAAGCACCCTTATGCCATGAGAGTGGGAATCACTTAATCTAAACACACAACACAGCAGATAGATCTGTGTAGAAGAACAGAGCATTTAGCTAACGCATCCATCATGGTCAGCACCTTGATTAGGCAAATTAAGGATGTCCTTTCTGAAACTCTAGATCCTAAGTTCAAAGGACTTTTAGGCAGATTGGCTAGCTTGCAACTTGAGAAAACTCAAGTCTGCCTAAAAAGAAAGCACGGTTCTGCAGATCAGGATGAATGCAAGTTTCATATTCAAGCTTCCAACAAAAGCTGTTTAGCATGGGCTCATTTTTTTTGAATCCTCGATAGAAACAGTCAGGAACACATTGATTTAAAGCGGGTTTTTGGTGATTTCTTAATAATAGTGTGCAAACACTGCCCAAAACTGCTCATACAAACACATGCAGCTAAAAGCTGTGGCTGCTGAAGATCATTTCCAATTGCACAAAAGCTAAGATGTGGGACTATAAAAGAGGTATGCAGGGCAACTGTTACTTGTAAGGGACCATTCAGCTGTTGACGAGGGAAAGATGCCAGAAATTGGGCTGCAGTGATAGACTCCAGAAAAATTAAATTCAATTCACATATCAAGGAAAAGGATAGAAGAGAATCATTGCTGACTGCCTCATGCAACGCATGCCTCAGCTACTCAGAGAGTCAGCAATGCCCACAGACTCCACAGCCTCAGCAAACTCATGTTCTCAGTTCACACCGGAGCTCACCCTGTTTCTTTGGCTGGCACCGTGTAACATATTGGCAGTTGTCTGTTACACCCAGTGAACACGGCCACAGAGGGGCCACCAGTTTCCGTGAATGCAACTGCTGGGAAAAGTCTTCCTGACCGGACACCTGCAAGGAGGCAAGGAACAGGAGGGGAAACGTCAGTAACATGTAACAGAACTTTTGCAAGTTGCAAGCTGTAGACAATACATGTATACACACTCACCAGGAGCAAAACCGGAGAATGCCCTCATGGAAAGACGTAAAATAAGCCATTTAGAATGTAGTGCAGACATTATAAACCTTCAGCTCTGCAAGATGGATACAGTTAACTAAAATTCTCATGACTGAATATATTTTGTGGACATCCATTACTGAGCTGAAGATTTAGCTCGAAAGCCAGTAACACATTTGAGTGCGGATACACATTAACAAATGCCCACAGGAGTCTAGCATATGTGCCCATTTCACGAGCAAAACTGTTTTCACATCAAACATCTACATAAAATTTCAGTATGTCTCGGTGGACCTAGGCACAAAAATCCCATAGCAAGGGAGAACCAGGACCTGAAATTAAGTGTCTGTTATCGCTGGTTTGCCTCTAGAGAAACCAAAATAGGTGAGTTAGAAACAGCACACATACATTTGTCTGCTTCTTTCCTCGGCAGTGCTTGAGGCATTGAGGATGAGTCCTGAGTAACTAAATTTAATATCGGGACTATTTCCTCATGAGGGAAAGAAATACAGCCATGCATTTCTTCAGCAGCACACAGCAAGAAGCTACACAGTCCGAGCTCTGACTGGCACCTACCTTCCAGGCTGGCATCCCATGATAGGAAAGCTGACCATTGCGGATGAATTTGTAAAGTGGAGAATCAGGCACAGAGTTCAGGTCTCCACACAAGATGACAGGATAGTAGCTGCCTTCAGGAGTTTTTGCAATCTTGTCGATCTCTGCTAGGAGCAAGGCCATCTGGGCAAGTTTGATATCTCCCCGCCGGGGATTGAACAGCACATGAGTGTTGGCCACGCACAGAGGACTGACTGCCTTCAGATCCAGACACTCTGGGAGCAGAGGCTGTAGCAGCAACACCAAGCCCACGTTATCCCGATTGAGGACGTCCAGGCCAGGACGGAAATACTCTATGGGGCTGACGCTGATCAGCTGGAACCTGCTGTCCTTAAAGCACACCGCACAGCCATCGGTCTTTCTCCCAGTCCTCCGTTTATAGAAGCAAGCAAAGCCTGGAAAGAAACCATCACGCATTAAAAGCTGATCTAGCCACTACCTTAGGCTCTCCCTCCATCACCGGAGAGTTCAGCAAGCCTGTACAGTAGAAGAGGCTCCCACTACAATTTTGGGAGAATGCAATTCAATCTGGGAGACCTGTCCAGAAGGATGATTTCTCCAATCCCTACGCAATCCTACCTTGCTAATTTTCACACTGTTTTCTACAATAGAACTTGGCTTAACTACAAAAATCATCCATCACTGGCCAATAAAGCAACCCTACTTGTGAAAACCTGGTTGCTTAGTTACATAACATTTTACATTCCAGGTCAGCATTCCTTAAGGTCTCAGTTCCCACTAGCTATAAGCAATGTTGGGGCACATAACAGGATTCATTATTTGGGAGGCATGGACTCCAACCTCTGCTCCTTTGGGTGCAACATTTTGTACAATACAATTGTTCCTTTTGTAATGCCCTGGGCACAGCGTTATACCCAATTCTGTCCCAGTAATCGCAGTTTATTATTCATAATCGTGAGTCTTTTCTCTCTCTTTGTCCTTCTAGGACCCTCTCAATTTTGTTACTCTGATCTGTCAAACAGGAGAAAGATCAGTTAGAAAAGAAAGGGTGAAGCTCTAGGCAGACAGCCCAGAAGCAGGGCCAGCAGCTGCTCAGAGAAAAAGGAAGAAGAGTTCTATGAAGACTGAGTGCTTTGAAGACGTTAAGCAGGAAGAACTGCTTGACCAGTCCCATGAGTTGGAGATACAGACACAAACAGAGGACGTACCCATCTTCTTGAACGTTGGCTCCAGCTGCTCCCAGTAATGGTTCTCTTGCACCTCCTGGAGACACAGAACCTGGAAGGAAGGCAGAGACCTCACTCGCTCCACCAGCATTTGCCAGTTACCTTGTTTTGGGGAAGGAAGGAAGTGCAAAAGTGCACTCACATACTAACCCTGCAAACAAAAAGGCCATCACTGCACCTCTGTCCTGTACTGCCCAGCCAGAGAATGACAACTTTCTGGGTCACATTAGCTTATCACTCAGTTATCCAGTGATGAGGTGAAAGATCCTTCATCACACCAATAGAGAAAGTCACGAAATCCTCTCCTACGCTGCCCTGCAAGCCTGGCCCTTCCCTCCCAAAAATGCATTACCTCTTCTTCCACTTCTGCTGTTTACTAAGTTAACCCCTGCTATCAAAGTATTACTAGTTGCTACAGAAACACAGTCCAAACAAAACAGGCACCCAAAAAATATATACTTGAAGCCTCAATTAGTCTCAGAGGAATCAGCACTGAGTTACCAAGTAGCATCTTCCCAGGACTTCCCCCACCCCTATTAAACAAACAAACAAGCTGTTAGATCACACAAGAAGTTAAAATTCTGGTGATACCAATGTGGAAGGGGCTCAGTCATACTCACATCAGGATCCCAGTGCTGTATCTCCTGTAAAATGTTCGGAAGGCGGTAGTCCCAGTTCAGGATGTCCGGATGACAGTGTATGTAAAGATCATGGCCCTGTTCCACCAGGTCCTGGGCCAGGATGTTGTAAGACATGACTCGAAATTCAAAGAGAGGAGGGGTTTTTGAAGCCTGCTCTAGCTCACAAGGCTGGACAGAAAGATCCTCCCAGTCTCTCCATAAAATTTCTATATGCAAGAGACAGAAAAGCCAAATTACAGCCATGTTGGGTACCCCCGATACTTTTGTTTCCCTGAGACCCAGAATATAGTCAATCACATTCTCTAGGCTTGAGCAAACCCTCACCCACTTTGGGTTTTGGGTGCTTTGTTTGGATTCATTTGTGTATACGTCAATGAGGAAGGGTTAACAGAAGACCAGACTGAGCATACTGAAAAATTCTACCAACTTTTGGGTTCTTTCTGTATTTTTCAGGCACAGTTCCTGGGAAATTAACGTATCAATACCCAGACAATCTAGAAGCACTGAGATTACTAGCTGAAAGCAGCCCTGCCTCAGCAAAAACTTACTTTGTAGCTTTCAGTAGCAGATCTCGTCAATTCTATACAAACTGATACAATCATGGTGCTACAGACAGGAAGCCCAGACCCATTCACCTCAGCCAGACACAACAACCTAACCAGGTTCCCAACAAATTCCCAACTAAGCATTAGATTCAGAGCTGTTGCCACTGACCGTGGTAGGGTACCTCCTCCAGGAGGGGACAAAATTGTACAGCATCCTGAACGGGCCAGGCAGGGGGCTCTGTTGGCACCATCTCTGCACCACCTGCTAAGCTCCATGCCAGCACGGCCGGGTCTTCATGCTGCCCTCCCACACCGATAGGGGCACAGCCAACCATCTGGTGATCCGTCTGTGGCACCACAGCTGCCCACGGAGCGCTGCCTACTACAGCTACTGTCTTCTCTGCTGGTAGTTTTTCCAGTTTAGTCACTGCATGGTCTGGTGGTTCTGAAGAAGCCAAGGCACATAGCTCCGTGAGCTGCTGACCGGCACACCACGTGACTTCTGGAGCCGAGTTCAGGTCGCTAAGGCTACTCATCAATAGCTCTGAACCTTCTAACCAGTCACTAGTGAGCGTTGCTGATACTTTCCCCACTGCTGGAGCACTCTCACTGGCTGGCAGATTCCCTGCTCCTTCTTCCAGCCACTGCTGGAGTAGGGCTTCCTGCTCTTCCTGGACCGAATTTCCTCTGGTTGCAGCAAAGATGCCTTCTATCTGGGTGGACGTGCTCTTCGCCAGAAGCACATTCTTTCGACAGGTAAAGAAAGCATCTGCCATTAAGAAAATAAATTAATTAACATAATACAGATGAAAAGCCTTTCTCACTTTTTTTTTCCCCCCAGTGCATTTGCTGTAGCTCAGTGCAATACAACCATTCCGCATGACAACCCAAACAAGTGACTTCCCTGAAGAAAAGTAGATACAGCCTAAATAACTTACCCTGCCTCTTAACGCTAGGCTACAGTCCAATTCTAGTTATATTAGTCAAAGTCACTGAAATTGTACAGCACAACAATGGCTTTACCAATGCCACAGAACACAGTTGTAACTCAGGCAGTGCCACAGCCAGCCGGGTTAAAAGGTGCTGTGGAAATTGTACCTGCTCTCAACAGCACATGAAGGCGCAGTCTGTAGAAGTTAGCTGATGGGGTACGTGGGTTACGAAGCCGAGTGCTTGTAGCTGACCACTTGGAGCAAGTTTCTTTCCAGGGATTCAGTAAAAATGGTAAGGTAAGAGGCCTTGAAGTAGTTATTTAAAATATGAATGTGCTAAAATACTGTTCTGTAATTAAGAGGTGAAAAATAAAGAAGCAGAGGGACAGATGTGAACAACTGAAGGCCTTATCAGAGAGAATATACGCACAGAAGGAATCCTGATAAGGATTTAAAAACGCATGATGATTGATACATGATTTAAAAAAAATCCCTGCTGTTCATGTAACACTTTTGGATATGCTGATATGAGTGGTGCACAACAGAAAGAGATGGGGGCTCCTTTCACCTGTATGGCCATCGCAGATGACGCACTGCTCTCTTGCTATGAATTACACACAAACACTGCTCCCGAATTACACACAAACACTGCTCCCTGCTGCAGACCAGCAACTCCCTTCTCCTCCACACGGCTTTTTCGCTGAGGTTCCCCTGCAACCGCCCCTCGGAGCGGTCACACCAGGGGGCCAGCAGCACCTCCGTGCTGCCAGGCCAGGCCCCGCGGGGCGGCTGAGGGCCGGGAAGGCTCCCGAGGAGGCCGCCCCCAGCTCCCCCACCCCCGCCCCGCGCCCCAGGGGCAGGCCCCGACACCGCGGGGCGGCTGCGGGGAGCCCCCGGCGCCTCCACAACGCCGCCCCCCGCCCGCCCGGGGCCGCGTTACCTCGCAGGGCCCGGAGGAGCCGCGCGGCCGGCAGCAGCACGTAGCACAGCACCGTGCCGATCATAGCGCCCGCCCGCCCGCACGGCCCCGCTGAGGCGACGCCGCGGCTCGGCCCCGCCTCAGCCACGGTCTCGCCTCAGCCCCGGCCTCACGGCTCGGCCCCGGCACTCACCGTGCCCGCCCCGGCCCCTCGGTTCCCCGCACCGGGACGCGCTGGGGCCTGGCCCGGACCGGGGGTGGCGGCGTTGGGGCCGGGAGGCGGCGGCCGCCTCACCCCGCAGGCCCGGGGGCGGGTTTTTAAGCGAAAGGTTTCGCCCTCACAGGCTTTCAAAGCTGAACCTGCCTCACGTTGGCGCGGGGCAGTTTCAGGGGAAGGAGAGGTCCCACCTCAAGTGCACCTTCCTCGTATTTTGCTTCTTTCCGCATTTTGCTCTGCACAACGCCCAAAGGCAAACGGATAAACTGAGCGCCCTGTCAGCTCTTCGCACCAAACACACATATTTAATGTATTATATTAACGTACAAAATGGTAAAAGCTAACTCAGCTGAACTACAATTACCTTTAAAATCACAGTTGTCACCTGCTAGGGAGCATTTCAATCCTATACCTGTAATACTTATACCTCTTACCTCTTATACCTCTTACTTAGAGGCTGATTTCTGCTTCATGTTAATCCTTCTAATATTTTCAGACAAAACCTTTCTGCTGCCTCTGGTGTTTCCCCTTCTGCTTGGGAAAGTCACACAGCACACCTCTGGAGGGTGATCTCACCAGAGATCTTCTTCCAAACTCTCTTATCAATGGGCTCATGCACTAAATTCAACAAAACACCCATCACCCCTGCGTGCTGTGCCGACCAGTGCTGCCAAACCGTGCCCTTGATGGTCACCTGCTGTTGCCTCTCCCGTTATCCTCAAACACTTTCTGTCTCTAACACTATTTGTGTATTCTGATCAGTACAAAGGGCACCCACAGCTAGGACCTGAGCTGATGTAACTAAGGACATAAATAATAATCCAGCCAATTCGTTCTAAAACCTGCAGATACAAAACCCCACAGATCGTTGTTAGCAAGAAGCACACTGACTACTGCAATGCGGTGCTCTGCTCTGTGGGGTATTTTCAAAGCAAAAAGGCAATACGGTGTCTTTTTCAAATTGACAAAACAATATTTCCAATGCCTGCATCCAGAGTTTTACATGGATCACCGTGCAGTGGCATCAGAGTGCTTTCTTATTTCTGCTTCTTTGAGTTAGGACCAAATGTGTCATTGAGGGGGAAATTGAGGCACAGAAGCAGTGACCTGTCCCAAACTCCACAGATGTCTCTGGCAAAGCACAGCACTGGACTGTGGTCTCCCATATCCTGCTGTGGGAAGCAAACCTCTGGAAACCATCATTGGTGTCTGCCTAGAGCAGACAATGTTCGCCAGAGGAAAGATATGCGGCAGCAAGGGCTAGTGACCAGAGCATTTAAAACAAGGCTGTTCTGGGAGAGGAAAGATCAAAGAAAGCATCTGAAGGTCCAGCCCAGCCCACATCAGCCTAATTGGACTGGAATGGGAGAAGAACACTGGCCAGAACCACAGACAAGCATCTCGACAGCCACTGTTGTTTGGCCTATGCTAGAGAAAAATATTTACAAACTTTGGCAATAAAATCAAAGCTGACAGCGGTCGTTTGCTTTGGGGTCAAACCTTCCACTGATTTATGCAGCATGCTTTGTTCTATATATAAAATAACCCTATCATGGCCTCTAATGACTGGACTAGTTGGGGGGTTTATGTAGAACCTAGGGAAACAAAAACACTAAAAATACCCCATCTCTAGGGAAACGGACTAAATGTATCTACCAGTTCTGCTCAACCTTTATCAGAAAGCCTCTTGTGTTACAATTTTGGTTCTAGACAAAATGGAAAGGCTACGGAGACCTCAGTATAAGTTATGCAAAATAATAAGTGTTGAGCAAATTTAGCACCAACATCAGCTGGTGGGATGAACAAATACATGATTCGAGGCTCCGTTAAGTGCTGACATGTTTACAAGCCACACTGTTACAGTGTATATGGGGAACTTGTCAGCAGAGAAGCCTGAATCCATTCAAGATGAAGAGGCTGATACACTCGTTTTACCCTTAGCTCCTTTAAGACTGCATGTGCAGCAGCCTGACTTTCTCATGTGAAGCTGTACAAACCGCAGTGCTAACCCAGGGGGAGGGAGAGCTCTCACCAGAAGCCTGGCACCACTCTCGATATGCCTGGGGGTCTCACAGCCAAAACCTCATCTGCTCTCTTCTCCGTTACCCGGTGTTGATGCGATCCGAGCCCAAGCAGCGCTGGTTCCCAAGGCACCCAGAACCTGCAGTCAGGATACGGAGGTGAGGTCACAGAAGAGCTCACCGGGGTTCTCTTAACACCCAGCCAGCTCCTGCCAACACAAAACATCCTTGTGAGCAGTATAAATCAAGAGCATCAACCTTACAACTAGCACCATTGCTCTTGGAGGCTTGTCAGTAGTAGCTGAGCAGCTGTGCTTCGTGTGCACACCTTAGAGGGAATGGTAGGGTCTAGGAGGTGGCTGCAAACCCCTCGCTGACAGAACAGAAAAGGCAAATAAACCCTCAGCTCACTGGTGCTGGCAAGGAAACGTACCCATGGAGAATGAGTCTGAGAAGGACACAGGTGTGGTGCTTACTTACCTGCTAAGTCATTTCAGAAATAGTCCAAAGTAGGCAAAGGTGGACCAGCAGGATCCAAGTGGGGGAAGGCAGCAGGGAGGCACCACCACAGAGAAATGGGGTGAGCAGGGACCCAAAGTACCAATACCCAAAAGTTACAGCTGCCATCTGGGAGCTGGCTGGTAACATCCAAGCTAACGCCTTGCTTAGAGAAAAAAAATACACCCTAAATGAGCTTGCCCAGTACCAGCTTCCCAGCAAGTATGGCCAGCTGCCCTTAATTTCCTTTAATTTCCACAGATGTCAGAGCTCAGCACCATGTGAGGTGAGATCCTATTTCAACCCTCCCTTGCCTAGAAGGATGGGCAGACTTTTGAAGGTGGCAAGATGATTTTGTGAATGTGCTAACTAGAGTTAAGGTCTGGGTCTGTAGTATTTTGGCATGACTTTCTAGCTTAGTGTGACTATTCCTGTACTGCTCCCTCATCAAATTTTATACTTGGCTGACTTAGTCGCAGTGTGAGGGGAACTGGCTTTTTGCCCTGATAACTTTCAAGGTACAGTTAATTTATTGAAGTAAAGCAAAGAAATACTGAAAAGCAATTGAGATCTTCTTAGCATGCACCAAGAGTTACTAGTTATGCTAGTGCTGAGCATTTTCCTTATTAATAAAAACAAACTCTTCATAGAAATACCAGTCATTGCCTTAATAAGTCTTTTGTCTTATTTAATTGCATAAGTAATTATATTTCTCAAATCTTAAAGCAAAACTTCTCAGTACCAGTATATGTGGGAATGCTCATCCATTGTATAGGCTGGTCTGAGTGTTCACTAATGCTACAGGACTTTTTTAAAACAGATATTACATATCTGCTTCCAGTAATTACTGTGCTGCCAATGCTACCAGCAAGTTCTTCTCAAAGTTCAAAGCCTTTTTTGTGTTGTCACTTAGTTGTTACAAGTTAATTTCTTATTTTCCTTCATAATACAATTTAAAATAATCAAATCTATGAGACAAATCTCTTTGGCTCTTGTTTTCTTGTATTTAAATAGAGCATAAAACAATTTTTCAAGTGTTATGTAGTCATTTTCCCTGATGGTTGCTCTAATAGATGAGATCCTTTCTCAGGATGTCTTCCACTGTTTCAGAATAGCATTTGACTAAATATCTGTTCTTCTTTTTCCATAAAGATAATCTGTTTGGTTTTTTTTTGGATCCAGCAATAATAATTTACTGTATGTGTGGGATTAGGCCCTTTTAGATAGCTTTTCTGCAAACCAGGCTTCTGTTCTTGGCTATAAACTCCTGAAGTTTTTACTCTGTAAATGGAGTCTGACATAATTAGTGCCCTGCTATCAAGCCCAAGTGATTATATTAAAGTTAATATTTCTTCTGTTTTTTTTTGGACAGTATTAATTTCAAAAATATTATTATAGGAAATATCTGGTCAATTAACAGTTGGCTGCTGTTTTTCCTTACATATGGGATTTCATAATTCTGTGTAAAATGCTGGCAGAATCTGACTGATAGATGCCATGGAGAGATTGGTATAATTATTAATCCTGCTGTATTCTAGAGGCAAAATGTTGTCAAAATTTTTGGTTGTTTTGCTTTGCTTCTTTTGGTGGTGGTGGCAGCCTAAATTACTCACACTAGGAAAAAAAGAAATCTATGTTTTCCCACACTTATCTAACATTTCTTTATAATTTATCTAGAAATCTTCTGATATCCGCATTGGCACGACCTAAAATAGGAGATAAAAAATTGATAACCTTGACTAGATGACCAAACCAGGATACAAGCCTCATTACTCATTCTTCAATAGCCGACAACTTTTAGAAGATTGGCTCCTAAATACTTTGCTTAAAACTTGCTTACGTACAAAATCACATGCATCTTGTAGCAGTTTCTTCACAGATTCCTTCAACACTTTATACTCCTAGTTTAGTGTCTAGCCATATAGTGTGGCGCAGCACTTAATGAATGGAAAAAGTTGCTTCAATCTAAGCATTTACATTCGTATCATCTTGTCTGCATGCTGCAAAATGCTATGCTCCATTTTTCGTTGCTCCTGCTGAGTTATTATTCTGATGTACTTGTCTGCCTGATGTTCAACAAAGAGCTTTACTATCACAGCATAAGCTGCCATTGGGATTTATCATACATTTGTACAACGCAAGAGGGAATGAAATAAAATAACGTGCCCAGAGAATAGGCATTGGTAGCCCAGCATACCAGAAGGGTTTTGCAGGTATCTGGATGCATCCCGTATCAGTCTTGCATCAAACCATGGAGTGACCTCCCCTCCTAGCTCCTGGTTCATCACTGGTCAAAGCTGTGCCTGAAGAAGGCTGACCAGGAAGATGTGCCTGCAGCCCCAACGCCTCAGAAAAGGAGAGGGTGATAATGAATCTCCAGCCCTGCCTCTTTTCTCTGCGTTGACTCTAACAATGATGATTGAGAGTCAATGCTTTTTGAATATCTGCCTGAATAACACCCTACCAGTATAAATATCTGAATCAGTGTTAATTCCTACAGCTCCACAAGGATGGGGGGACCACTTTTGGATCTGCCTTGCAAGGCTCAGTCCATGCAGTGCAGGGTTGGCTGGACACAGGACAGCCCCAGTTATCAGATAATAAAGTCTGTGATGGGTTTTGCATAGCATACAAACAGGCTGTCTGCCCCTCAGATTAGGAAGTTTGTGGATGGCCAGCATTGTAGGGTCTTTGAGGAAAAAGGATCTGTGGGTACTATCACTAGTATTCCAAATCTGGATGAGTTCTTTACATGGGATTTAGACCTATTTTTACCTTTTCTTTTGCATTTCTCATGCTAAAGTAAACCCCTTTCTTTGAACAAAAAGTCTGGCAGAAGGAAAAGGCCTTAATGAAGGAGCTGCAGGGCTGGTTGAAATGCTGTGATGTGGGTGCCAGCTGGCCAGTTTTTTCCCTCAAGCAGGTCTGAGTGAACAGCCAAACTGCAAGCTCCATGTCATACATCAATCCTAAATGACACCCAGAAGGGCACAAACCGACAGGTCAACAGCCTGGAGCTCTAAAGGGAAGTAAGGAGTAAGGGAAGAAGGTGGTAAAAGCAGTGACAGGCAATCAAGTAAAGATTAAGAGTAGGGGAAGAAAGAAAAAGTGTAGTTATTCACCAGGAATGATTTTGGTAAAACCATTCCTGATTCTGGTATGCATTTATTCCTCGTAAAGAGGAATTTTCCGAATTCTCCTTCTCTCTCAGTGTAAAATAAATTATGACCTGTAGGCAAGAGCAGCTGTACCACTTCCAGTGGGTCTGGTTACACTCAATCCCAACGTACAATAGCATTCAAACACTTCTGCCCTGCTTGAGGAGTACAACAAAGCATTCCCAGCCTGATAGCACAGGCAGCCAAGTGTCCTGCCAGTGCCTGGGGAAGCGTGAGGCAGTTCAGGAGAGCTGAAAGGAGCTGGCAGGGCTTTGGCTTGTAGGTTTGTGGGAAAGTGGGATGGAGAGGGGAAATTTGCTGTTGTCTGACAGACTCCAAAACTGCGGAAGGGGAGGAAGGCAGCTCAATGGGGAGTGAAGACGTGAGCCCGTCCCCACGCCAGGGCCAGCACCATGTGGGTACGCAGCACGGGGAGCAGTGGGCACAAAGCCGTACTGGGGAAGGAGCTCGTTTGCAGCTTGTTGAAGAGGGGTGCAGTGGGAGCTGCGGGAAGTTCTGTCACATGCTGGAAGTCACAAATGTGCTGACATTGACAAAATGAATCCGCTTGGTTTCACAGCAGATCAGAATGAGGAGGTATCAGACACCAGTGAGACTCCAGAGCCTCTGTCACCGCCTGAAGCCCCAGCAGAGAAGGCCACACAAGGCTCTGACATTGACCTAGAAGTTAAAGGTGAATATTTTCCGTTCATCTGCCCTCACTAGCTTTTCCCCTCACAGTCAGTGCTGCACCTACCAACAGGTATGTATCAGAAGTGGAGGCCACAGACACAAATGACCACAGCAGGGTCCTGACATCTACTCCTTATCTGGCCATTGAGAAAGGCAGAGGGGATGAATTTCCCTCTAGGAGCTCTCCCTTTGACACCAAGCACCTTCCTTCACCTCCTGCATATAGGCCTGTTCCTTTGTGCCTTCCTCCTTCCTCTAGTCCTTAATAACCAGCACTACCAGACCAGCTAGCTGAAGCCAGGGCTGGGCCTCAGGCCCTGTTTGTGTGCTCCTGATGAAATGCTGCGTGCCAGCTGTGGTCTGCATGCCACAGATTTGCCACGATTGTCCTAGACTGTGCTGGTTGCTCTTATCTGCTGCCCAGTGAAGTCAGTCTTCTGGCTAAACAAGTCTTGCACTCATTTTTGTCACAGTAGGACTTGCCTATAATTTAGGATGAGTGCTTGCTGATTTGTTATAAATGGAAGGAAAATTAAAAAAAAATAAAATAAGAATGCAAGGAAAAAAACTTTTGTGAGAGGCCTCAGTTTGAACTGGAAAAATGGTTTTGACGAGAAGAGAATTTGTCTTGAGGTCAGACCATTGGAAGCATATAACAACATGGAGAAATATGAGCTCTAAGTATGGGGTTTGATGAAGGAATTCCAAATGACAGGTTTTTATGGAAAGGCAGCCGCCAGCTGCATTGATATGTCTCACTGCAGCTGTGTCAACAACACCCAGTGGCCAAGCTGCGAATGCTGGGATTCTTTCTGCTGTTCGTAAGCCAAGATGTTCTGAGCTGCCCTAGCTCTGCTGGCAATATCAGCTGTATGCTTCAATTAAAATTTAAAAGAAAAAAAAAATGATGAAAATGTTTTTGCCTGATGTCAGAAATTCTCAATTACACCAAGAAAGGTTTAGTCATATTGCAGACTGATGAGAAGCTACAGATGCCAAATGGAGAGGCAAGGAGAATACATTAACTCACGGAGGTGTGGGATGAAGGGATGTGGAGAAGCAGAGGGAAGATAACTTTCAAAGAGTGAAACCCTTCTGTTGTTGCATAGTGTTACTTAATTTGGCTCCACCATGTAAAACTTTACCTAGGGCCTGAAGCAATGAGTCTGGCACAGCTTGTTGATAGTTCAGTTTGAATCATGAATCAAGACCCAAAAAATAAGGATTCTCGTGAAGGCCAAGAGTAAGAGTTCAGTTGAGGTGGCTGCTTAGTTCTCTGCA